TAGATTCTTAGTCAGTTAAAAGATTATCCCTTGATGATTCAATTTATTTCCAGACCACCCCTTGTAAATAATGACATAATAATTCCAGACTTGTAGCTCAATGGAATGATGAGCATCTTGCTTTAAGGGTTAAAACTAAAAAAATTCCAGCTCCTAATTTTGAACAAAAGCAGCTATATCTGATGGCTTTTCAAGAAATAAACGATGAATCAGCAGAAAGACAACTAGACACAAAAGAAGAATATATTTCAGATGGCCAAACTAACGAAATGGATGAAGATCTAGAAGAAGTTTACATAGAGATGATGAACAAATAAAAAGAAAAGACAAAAGACATGCAAATGAGAAAAAAAAGTGAAGAAAAACAAAAGCCAGATGAAGGACAATTGTCATGCCAAAGAAGTAAAAAAGATGACTCCAGAAGATAAAATTTTCAAAATGAATCTCACAGGTGTAAAGAAAAATTTAATGCTTTCATTACATACTATACACATGTAAAAGTAAATTTTTTTTAGAAATAAAAACATAATGTACTAATATCTATAAATATAGACATCACTCAAACAATGAGAAAAAACCGATAAAAAAATAGCGGCATAGCACACTGTAGCACTTGCACTAAAAAAAATAATTCAAAGACATCTCTGTAATCAGTTCTTGTAAGTTTGAAGATTTCATAAATAAAAAGTAAGATCTTTTCATACTTTCTCTTGTTAGTAATTTTCGTTTACTTTATCTAATTTTCGGGCAAGGCCTAAAACGAGAAATACCAAGTAAGTAATTAATTTACTCGAAAGCATTAAATTATATTTTTCAAATAATCATAACGCTCTTAGCCTCTTTATTCTGGATTCCATGACCAAAAAGATAAAGTAATCCTCTGAGTTAAGCTGATTATTCTACTTATTAAGAAGTTTGTTCAAAACCTTTTAAACATGATGAAAATCTTTTTTGGTTATAGTCTTAAACCTTTTTAAAAGGTCAAGCAAAAAGCTGAGAGAAAGTTAAAAAAAAAAAAGAGTATTTGAAAAAATTAATTTGCTGAACGGTAAAGTACTCTAAGGCCATTACAAATATATTGTTTTCTTTAATTTCAGACAAATTTTATGCATTACATTTTATGCCATTAGACAATTATAAATTGATATATTGTTCTTTAAAAAGTTTTAAAAAATCAATTAATATCTATCTAGAAAATCGAGAAATATGTAGACTAGTTGTTATAGGAAGCCACGTATTATTCACAGTAGATAGAAATAGAGGCGACTCCTCTTTACAGATCAAGAAACAAATTACTGAGATTTCCATCACTCAGTGTCAGAGTTTCTTGATAAAAGATCCTAAAGATTGTAAGAGAAGACAGAAAGCCATAAGCTTGGTGTGTATCTAACTACTATAAAAGAGAGGATGCTAATTCCACTATTCATTTCGTGCCCTTTCTTTCACACTTGGAACTGGTTTTACTACAGTAGACAAATCACCTTTATATTCCTACTATATCCCCTTCCACTTAAAAGAGTGCATGTGAAATCACTGTTCATTTTTTAGCCGTCTTGTTCACACTGAATGACCCTTTAATGTTGAATAACTGGTATGGCTCAAAATATCTGACCGCAATCGTTGAATGTGGAGGTTACTATTTATTTTTGATAACCTTGTTTGAATTGAAAGAAACCATAGCAAAAGCTTTTGATCATATTCCCCTTGATGTGCGTTCACACTACTTTAGCTAAATCCTCCTCTGCAGTATCCATCCTTCTCTCTGGTTTGTCTACGGTACAACTAGCTTTTTCTACAGTAGAACCGACTGCAAAATATCCTATTTGTCCATGCATTTATAAGGTAAGTTTCTCCTGAAGATATCTTATCTTATATAACATTTTCTTTTTACTACTTTTGTTTACGTTTGAATTCTATGTTTTTGAATGAAATCTTGTTGGAAAATTTGTGTTTGAAGAAAGAGTTCACTATTTGTACATTTCGCCACAAACTTGAGTTTTTGAATTACTTTCTTTCCATCCCCTCCATATTTGTAGTCGCCCACTGACATGCCTTCTACAATCAGGCAAGTTTTTATTCACTATACTTATTTTACACTTAACACATCGCTTAATTATAATATTTATTTATTTATTTATACGAATAGCTTTCAATATGTCTGTTAATGAACAACATAGTATCGATGTAGAAAATACTTTTGAACATCAAGCTACTGCCGAAGTTTCAATAGAACCAAATTCCGATTTCTTGACTGCTAGAAGTTCCCCATATCTTGTCTTGCACGAATGTGGTAGTAAAAAAAAACAAATTCATTCAAAGGTCGTTTCAAATAGATGGAATAGCACCCGTGCTACACAACAATTATTTTTACTTTTATAAAATCTTTAAATGTTGACTTCATTAATTTTCTTTACGTCGTGCTCTTGAAAACTATCGAAAATGAAAAACAAAAAAATAAAAATCCGGGCGTGAGATCTGGAGACATCATGTTGGAAACTGGAAAAGAAAGGAAAAGGGAACAAAGAAAAAAAAAAAACTCCGTGCGCCACTGAGAAACGCTCCGTGGCGCTCGGAGATGCCAGCTCTCCGTGTGTCACGGAGCAACTTTCTGTGGTGCACGATCTCTTCTCCCCCAATTTTAAAATCTTGATTTCAATAGAAGTCTCCCAACAAAACCCTATCTGTTGCAATCTCATCTCTCTCTAATTAAAGCTGTAGTTTTCGCTTCTCTCTTATGAATTTTGCATCTGAAGAACCATTGTCGATTTTCCTATGTCGAAGGCAAGCTATCAATACCTGCATATCATTTGTTTTTTCTTATTCTCGAGTGATGCGAACCAAATCCTAAACTTCTTCACCTCCTTTGTTTTTGGATTTCTTCTTCATTATCATATTTCGAATTTCATTGTTGCAGTCACATTGAAGGTCATCTGATTTTGAGGACCCAAATCCATTGAAATTGGTACGCACAATTTTTAAAAAAAATATATTTTTGCAATTTTAGCAATATTGAGCATTTTATTACCTAGATTTGTATTTTTGTTGGGGAATTGAAGGATAAATATATACTCAAATACTGAATTTCACACAAACCCTAATTCGCCCCCAACTCTCCCTCTGTAAGGGCGATTCTGAATGTGGGTGCTTCACATTTGGAGAATTTCGCGAGTTCGGAGGAGGTTTCGATGGCAAAGGGGGAGATTTTGAGAGATGTAATGCCAAGGACATTTGTGTTTTGAATGCCGATAACCCTCTTGTCACTAGTCTTCCTTTCCCCATGGGTGTCAAGAAGGTTGGTGAGATTTTAACTTTAAACTTTTGATAGCGTAGTTACTTGGTATGTATGCTTCTGGTGTGCATGACTGGAAGTTGGAGAACCAGTTTTTCGATTAAAGGGTCGATGAAACATGAATTTGGAAAATAGACAGGATCTGATACAAAGACACATTTTCTTAACGATCCCCACCCTCCTCGCATACACACCCTTTTATAATGTCTGACTATAGAATTGAAGATATCGCCCCTTGTGTTCGATAACTCTGTTTGGTAGCAGGATACTTGTAAAATTCCCTCTGGTAGCAAGGATAATATGATCAATCATAATGCAGAATATATTAGCAAAATATAACGGAAATCAGCAATCGGATTGTTGCCTCTCCCTTTTGATATCATCACTAGAAGTCCAAGAACTTACAGAAAAGTAAAGGTATTCATAGTCAAATTATAAGAATTAAATACATTGCATTGCCTCGGGATCAAAGTCATCTAGATTCTGATTGATAGGAATATGCAGATCTATAGACTATAGTGATATTCATGCGTTTAGAATAAGATAGGACATACTTGGTTCTGAAGCCAAACTATAAAATATTCTTCAACAGCTTCTCAACCATTTAGTGCTTTTCCTCTCTTGAGCAATTGTATCAAGTTTTAGCTCTTAAGATTTTCTATGAATGCTCTGCTCTTGTATCCACACAATTTCCTTTTTCTTTATCATCTTCTTCACGTAGCACAGTAAGTTCTTGTTAAAATGATTAGAACTCTTTGGCAACATTGAACAGTGGCAAAGAAAGATCATGCAAGCAAATAGCATGTCTTCTTTACACTCAAAAGTTAAGGAGAAAATGTTCATGGAAAGGACTAATTAAGAATTTTGAACAAATATTCTGCTGAAATTCAATAAAGTTACAAATTAATCAAAGAACCAGAAGCTTTTCATCTAGACACAACCATTACATGCCTAATCAACTATTCCAGCTCAAGTAAATCTTTTTCACCCAAAGGCAATACATTGTTCATGGATGATAGTAAAAAAAGTGGAGAATACAAGTTGAATTCTTGAATTGTGATATGTTTTACTACAGGAAGTTCTCTATGAAGGTTTTACATAAGAATACCAATAATTGTTTGGAGTTCCTCATTTCTGAGGACAAGCAAGCTGGTTATAGATTAGTACTATACACAGAAATTAGATAATCGGGAGTAGATCATAAGAATACCAATAATTGTTTGGAGTTCCTCGTATTTTTTTACCTATTTCTTGGGTCCTTTTCCGCACTATGAGATTTCGAGCTGTGTTTTTGCTGATTTTTCGGGCCCTTTTCCGCACTATAGATTTAATATGTATGCATTTATTTCCCCCCGAAGGGCTTACATCAACTTTCAGCTTACTGGATTAGGATTCAAAAAATATAGCGGTTTAGATAAATCCATCTAGATCAAATGTATCGACAAAAAGTATTTTGCCTGATTATAAATAAATTATTAATACGTGCCAAACATGGGCTAAATGTCTTAGAACATTTTGATTGGTCTTCTTATCCCAATCGATAAATGCAAATTTATGTTGTGCTGCTGTCTGTTGTGGACCTTCAATCTAGGGAAATCATGTGAATGGTGGTTTATTAAGTTTTTCCTATAGTGATATAGGGATCTCCTATGCTAGCCCCTGCACTAAAGTATTTGACATTAAAATATACCAAACCCTACGAGGAAGAAGAATGGCAAAATCTAACAAGCAAGATCCGACCCATGCCATTGCTTTGGGAAATTTTCCAGATGAACACTCTTATATCCGCCTTCCAGCGCCTTGTCAATACACTCGGTACCCCCAAAGCACCAGACCAAACCGAGAGTACAGAAGTATGTTTTCTGGAAATTTTTGCGATTTGTGTACTTTTGAAAACTATTTTTGCCGTTTGGTGAAAAAGAGGATTGGTTCGAAATTGATCTTTGAATTTCGTTTATAGTTGCTTTATTTTTGTTTGTTTGCTATATGCAAATTAAAAAAAATTCTTTCAAAAAACAAATTTGTCGAACATTTTAATCTTTTTCTTGAAGTTTTCTTATTTATGATTATTATTATTATTATTGAACGGGACGTTTACTTCTTCACTTTGTTGCAACATAATATGTATACGTAGTGAGATATGTATTTGATTAATACGTTCTCTTAATCTTTGCATTATATACATATTATTTCAAGATTAACGGGCTTTAGATATCTATGTTTTGTGTCCTGTGAATGGTTTGATCTTTTCCTAGGGGCAGGGGCGAACCGAGACCATTTTTCTTGTGAGGTAAAAAATGAGAATTAAAAAATGTTTAGGTTAAAAAAACAAAAAAACTCAAAGAGGAAAACTCAAAAAAAATAAAAAATTGTGGGGTCATTTGACCCCACATGACCCCATGTGGGTCCGCCCCTGCCTAGGGGTGTGTGTATAGTTCATACTTACACAGATGTGAGGATTCACACGAGTTCTCCATAATTTTGTGTTATTAATTTGATGCCCAACTGTTATTTTGGAGTCTTTATTTGGTGTTTCTCACAACTTGACATGTGTGATCTTGTGTTAAATTCTGTCTCTATCTTTTAGTTTTTTGAATTCGATGGTAGTAAGTAAAATTACAGGTAACATCATAAGGAAATTGAAGGAGAATGGGTACGAGTACACTTGGGGAAATGTAGCAGTAAAGCTTAAGGAAGCATATGACCTTTGTTGGGGGGTTGAACTGGCTGTCTTGATTGCTCATGAAGCAAGAAAACAATTTCCAACTGAGAAGATTTCGATCACAATGAAATTATTCACAACACCCACTATTAATCAGGTATCAGTTTCTACGGTCTTCTTATTTATATTCCATTCAAACTTCAAAAATATTGGAAAGTAGATGATACTATAGTTAAAAATGTTGGTTCGTTTGTTCCTTTTATCAGATTATTGGTTACGCTCTGCTGTAAGATTTTATTGATATCTTAAAATTTTGATGAATTTATAATATTAAATACATTGTTAAAGACGGGGCACATTCTTGTTCAAATGGTTTTTTGAAGTGTGTTACATAAAATGACTTCGTTCAGCCTTCAGGAGGGGATTGTTGCCCTTGCTTATGAACTTTTAATTAAAAATTTGTTGTCCTTCGTCATATCGAGCTACAACGCCAATATTGGCACACTATCATATTGATTACCGGTTGAGTTTAATAGGGACAATCATTTTACTTAAAACATAGCTGTTATCTGCATCATGATTACTTGTTACCTAAGTGATCATTTCTAACTTTTGATTAGTGCGTAGAAAAGTCTTTATGTTGACACTTGTCCACTCAGAAGTGGTAATTTTGGCGATGATGACATCATCAAAGAAAATCCTTTTTAATTGAATGATGAATATGTTCTTGCAAAACAATCATCGATTAGCTGATGGTGTTTTCAGAAGCTGATATTCATTGATGTTTTTTTTTTTGTCTTCCTGGAGAACAAGGTTTCCATTGTCACTTGGGTCCAAGGTGAAATTACTGTACTACAATCTTTTCATGTCAATAAGGAAGATTATATAGCATCAATACTATTGAGGAACAGAACTATGTTAAAATCTTGTTTGTTATACCATCCAGTACCAGTAGTTAGGTCTAATATTGTATACGACAGCAAATACTTATTTTCAGTAAGCCTACTCATGCCTTTTAAATTTATTTATAAAACAGTGGTTATCTACTAATATGACCGATAGGATATCATTATCAAGATCAGATTATATTTTTATTCCAAATGCTTATATTTTTTGTTTAGAGTATTGATTTAACAGAGACTACCATTAGTATCAATTATTTCTTTCCCCAAACGCCAATATTGTTAGTACAGATAAACATTCTTCTACGACTTAAATTATTTTACAGTCAAGAAGAAGAAAGATCCAGCTGATTCCTTTGCTTAATACACATATGCCAGGTCAGTTATATATTTAAGCTTAGTTTCTCAGCAAAATGTCATGTTTTATTTCCTCCATTTTAGAACCTTTGTTCCTGGAATTCTGCCACACCTTCTCTTAGGATTTATAAAATAAACATATAAGCTTTCCTCCAAATAAAGAATATTGCTACTTGATACTTATCAACCTAACAATAATTTTTCATGCCATATTAGTACGGACTTTTGAACATAGCAAGATTGAAGACTACTTAAAACTAGATTCGCTTATGGGTTTGATCTAAATACGTCACTCGATTAATGTCTTGATATTATGTCATTTCTTTGTACCCTTTTCCAGTTCCCTCTGGAAACTATGCTTCTGCTTTGTACATTACGGCAGTCAAAGCCAATGTATTGGATAAGGTTAAATCTGAACTGCTTACCCTTGTTGAGGCTTCAAAGAGAAGTCCCATGTTTTCGCAGTTGATGAAGGATTTTTCAGTAACTGCTGACATGAGAGTGAAGGCCATAAATGGTTTTTGTGCTCAAGCTAAATTTACGGATATCACAAAGAACTTCTTGGGTAAGAACACTTTTTATCATTGCTTACAAATCAGTATTTTTAATTAAGATTGATATTGGAATACATTTGGTCTTATGATTTTGAGCATGGATTGGGGTTTTAAGAGCATGTCAGTACATAACCATATCCTTGCTTGCCAGTCTATTGGATATATTTGTTGGTTAAATCGTACTTGTTTACTGGCACAGTTTTTGGATTGATAACATCTTTAGGTAAATGAAACTTGGTTGCTAAGTAGTTGCATCTTTGATTTTCCTGTGGATGCCACATGTTAGGAGAAAGCATATCCTGCAGCAAAAATATTTCCTCATAATTAGCTTATCATTTTCCAAATTCTACTTCTTGAATTTAACAAAAAATATTTCACAGGCAATTTAGTGGCGTGGCATTTATGTGGATGAAATTTTTGCATGTCAGGTGACATATAACTATGGGTACATGACTCAACTCATTTGAAACACTAACGATACCAGCAATATAACCAAACCCGTACATCGTACGGCCAAAAACTAGTATATATATATATATACATATACCAATCAATACGTGGCATACTCCAATCAATACTCTACTCCTATCATGACACCGTTTGTCTTCACACT